AACATTGACATGAAACAAAAATTCATTTAACAATCTCCTGCTTCAAAATATTACATGTAAAGACAGATGTGTGCAATGCACTACTCTCATTTACAAATTAACTGTGTCTGAAATAGCAGAATAATAAATGTCCTAGTAGAATGTTTTTAGGCAGGCAATAGCGCATCAAATGTCTCCTACTATAATCTGCAATTTGTTGCCACCGTGTCCTCAAATTCTTAATACTTTCCTATACTAGTTTTTCCCTGCCGACTGAACTTGACATATTTTCCGCGCCTAAATGTTTACCTCTTGGACTTCCACTTTTGGCCTTGAGGTCGTGCGCTGGTCGCTGGTCCGATCGGCGCGCTGGCGTTCGGTCCAGCTTCTGCGTCGTAAAGTGACGGGATTCGCCTCTGCATCTGCGTTGCTTCTTGCGTCCTCTTCCGTTCTTCCTCAGCTGTTCCGTCTTCTTCTCGTGCGCTGGATCCTCGGCTCTTCTTCTTCCTCGTCTGCTACCGGCCCTCCGACTCACGCCCACGTTGCGAAAATGTCCTTGTACTTCACTGAATACTCGTGCAGTTGTCTCGCTCGTTGCTACTTTTACTTTGCTAAGGCCAGAACTTTTAATGTTTCTTTCACACGGGTAACCTTTTACTTCCGTGTTTGTTAATTTGAAGGAACACTACTTAATCTGCATATCTCGCGGACGACTGACTAGAACGTCTGTTCGACGCCAAATACTCCTACCTAGTAGTCGTTGCAGCGGCAACCAATATCTAAACTAACGTTTAACGAAGAGTTTGACTCGCGATCGGTGGTAAAAGGGCTGCTTATCCTCAACGAGTGGTGGCAAGAAAAGAGCTTCGCTTGCGGGTTTGCGTATTTATCGCGCGGCGCCTGGGGAAATTCTCCGTGGTGGGGCTGCTTCCCCTCTCTCAACCCTTCCCAAGGAAAACATTGCTTGCTAGTTTGCTTCGTTTAGTACGGGCAACGGATACCATGCCGCGCGTTTACGAACCTCTGTTTTCTGCGCCTGTTATCCTAGCTGCCTGTGGGTGTTCATACATACGAGACTGTGGTGTTATGGGATTGCACAATCCCATAACGCCACAATATATGTATATATATATATATATATATATATATATATATATATATATATAAAAATTTATAATTATAAATTTTTTATACCATTTTTAAGTTATTACACTTTGATTATGCTTGAAAATTATCACTGTGTATGTCTATTGGCAAATAAAAATAATTATTATTATTATTATTATTATTATTATTATTATTATTATTACTCCTGAAACAATCAATATATTTGTTTGAAGGTGTGATATAAATGCAATCTTATAGTTTAAATTCAGACAATTATAAAAGTTTCTTGTGTAAAATTCCGTTCATGACTTAAGTACTGTTATTATTAGTTAATTTATATTCACAATGTTAATTAATGCAATTATTATTGTAAGCTGTGACAATTCTATTTAACTAAATTCTCTTATACGATAATTTACTTATTAGAGTATCTTAATGCAACTTATTCCGGGGGTTACTGTGTATTATTAGTGTTTATATACTTTATATTGTGGCGTCACCATATTTTATTATATTAATTTAACATTAAGATAATTTTCTCCACGGAAAGAAAGTAGGTCGCAAGACTGGGCTGTCACAAAGGGTTCTTTTAAACGCACCGCGCCGCCGTCGCCTGCTGCCCCGCCCGCCCGCCAAATAGGGTACCGTTCGCAACAGACTCATTTACAAGCCGTCCGCTCGGCGATCGCCCGTCGCACGCCCTTTCATTGGCTGGTGATCCTCAAGGAAGACCTTTCCCCACCCCCCTTCGGGGAGCCCCCGCGCACTTAACAAAACAATGACCGCCCGCGACAGACCCCGCCTGCCGGCCATTCGTCACGCGTCCGCGCAAGGAATCTTCCTACAACACTTCCGGAAATCCCAGAGGTGTTGTTTATAGCTCGCCCGTCGCCGGCTGCCGATCACGACGCCGAAGAATTATGTTTTCGAAAACAAAGCCGCCTGAACACGTGTTCGGGCAGCTGCAAGAGATGCTTCTAGAATTATAGAGAGAGAGATCCCCCTGGAAAATTTCAGGAGCAGTGCGTTCCGATAGGTTGACAAAACATTGCGACGCAAATAGTTTCGGCCTATGAGACATCTCCCCGTGAGGGAAGGGGCGAAGCTACGAGTCCAGAGACGTTTTTGGGAGGGGGAAACAGAGGTCAGTTCGGCCGGGAGCTGAGTAGAGAAAAATATTAATAGGGAGAAATTGTAGGAGAAAAGACGTGGCTCTTAGATAAGACTCGGAGTGAGGAGCATTATTAATTTCGGCTCGTAGGGCTGAACTTTGTCACTGAGTGTGGTTTTTTAACCGAACCAAAGACCCGCGCAGACTACGAGTCAATTTGCGTTCGCCGCATAGTGCCGTCTCGGGCCCATTCAAGCCCGCATTACGCCCAGATTACGCCCGCCCGGCGCCCGCGTCTCCTCTAGCTGACTCTGAGTCCGCCCGCCTTTGACGACTCCGAGCCGCACCATGCCGCCAGCTGCGAAGAACCGAATGGGGAATCGATGTCCTGACCACCGCCCTGCCGTCGCCGCACCACGCGGCAAGCTCTCGCCAGAGCGAAGGTGAATCACGAGACGGGGACAGCCATCGAGCAGGTAGTTTTTTTTATGACTTAACAATACACGAATTGTTGTAGACAAAACCCCAATGTTAGTGTTAAGATGTTTCTTCCTAGCTATTAGAACCATGAGTTCATTGCGTGAAGTTGGTAGGCAGTCTTTGCCGCTCTCTTGCGACGTGTAACTTCCCTGGCAGCTAATGTCAGGAATAAATTAATTCTTGCCCAATTAATGAAATGATTTAATCGATATTTTCACAACCTCCCTTCTCTTCCAACCATTTATTATAGGAATGAACCAGCGACCCGACTAAGCTAAAAGTTACAATATAAAGATTTATAAGTTTAATTTTAATAAGTTTATAATTTTATACGTTTATATGAAGATTATTATATATTTTTATACACAGTGATAATTTCCTGGAAAGAAATTCAGTGGTATTCCTTCCACTTGTTTCCAGAAAAAACAGACTGAACTGAGTCCAGCATCTAACAATATCTAACAAACAAGGAATTCATATTATGCATCATACAATTTACAATATTAAGGAGGTTCCCGATCCAATTAACAATCCCAGATGTAAACAAAACACTTTATTTACTTCTTTTGCCAATTATGACCCAGTTATCTGTATTTTCTGTTTTGAAAACGCTAAAACTTTTTTCTGAGCATTCAAACTGTTAAATGGAAAGTGTCCCTGAGCATTCCCCCCTAAAAGGTCAGCACTCATTGTAGATAATGAATTATTGATTGATTAGTGATTCCGGATATCTTAATGGTAAGGTCATTAGTCCCGCGGTGATCTTCACTTGTTGGATAGCGAGGTCGGCTAGCAGGGTTTCCCCAACCAGGTATCTCCCACCAACGGGTACTGCTCCAGTCGGGACAAGATCTAAGCTCTTGACTGACCTTCCGGCATGTGTGGTAGTGTAGTGCATTAAGTGTGTAAGTTAGGAGTCAAGATAGAACAAGGACGGATCATGCAGTTTGTTAAGGATACTGCTCCCACATTTACCTGGTATTGATAGAAGAAACTACAGATCAAAGCAGTCGGTTGCTAGAATTCTCCTTCAGACAGTAACTGGATCTGACCTAGCTCTCTAGGTAGTGTTGAAAATCCTGCCACTGTCGGGACTTTAACCTAGTACCTCCTGATCAGTGCCACTGCAGTGACATCAGTTGATGCCGTGAGCCACCTCTCCCAGCAAGATAATGTATTACTGCCATTTCGCGGTCAGTGGAAATTATTCTTCCCACTTAAAATAGAATTTTATCAATACTGTGGCGTCGCCGGTTGCGAGTAAAACACAGGCATCCCTGAGGCACATCCGCCTAAGTCTGACGCAGACCCCAGCGGCTTGGCGCCACTCTTGGGGTCTTGTCCCGTGGCAACCGCCACAGCTCGCAGCCGAAGCTCGCGATAACCCCTGGCGGGTGAAAAGTGCCTTCCGCACCGCGATTCCGTTCGACAACGAATGACTACGGCCGGTTACTCTACAGCCGCCTCGCGAGGGGTCACGTGACAGACCCATGCCGGCGGCATCCTCTTATTCGGAAACTTGGGCCTGTTTGCAATTTTGGAGTCCAGCTGCACCGCGGCTGGACTCATCCATCATCTCCCTCTGCGCCAGTTGACACCCGCGTTCCGAGACACGCCCACCCCGGCCCTCGAGGAGGTCCCGCCTCTGCTGGCCTTCCCCTTACCGCCAAAGGACGGCCCCCGCCCCCTCGCTGGCCTTCCGACATGTGGTCCATCTGGTCCATTGGCACGATGTTACCGTACACACAAAGAAAAAGGCTAATACTATTATTAACACTAGTAAGATTAATTACTGTTTTCATTAGTTTTAACAATATTAATTTTGTTCTTTAAATAGTATTAACAAATTTCCATTTTAATTAATTGTCATAATTTTTAAAATGAATTGTACTATCAGTGGCTTTAGCAAACATTTTAAAACAAATCTAGGATTATGGACACCTTAAATGCTTAAAGCAGATTTTTCTCTAAACTAGCTCGGAGTGTGTTAGGGCAGTATTGCTGCTAACTTAGTTTTTATCTACTGACAATTAAATAATGGATAAAAACTAATCTATCATATAAGTCTGTTAGTATATAATTCTACTACAAATTGTTTATTGTTCTTTGCTTCATAAGTTTATTCATTTAATTATATATGATATTGTATTTCATTTTCTCAAAATTGTTCAATTAAGTAAAAAGTGTATAAGAAATATATTTTTTATACTGACTTTGTAATTGATTTAAGTATTTTTATCTGAGTAATTTTTATTTTACAAATATTTAAAATAAAATTATATTTTTATATAATACAGACAATAAATATTAATTTAAATCATTGATTTTTTAAAATTAATAATTTGATTTAAATCATCATATACCTTAATAATAATTATTATATGAAATATTTGGAACTGATCTAAATTGCAGATAAAAATGAAACAAATTTTCATAGAAAACCAACATATGATTTTCTCTGACAGCAGAGGTCCCAGTAGAGAAACAGTACTGCTGGGTAGGTTTGACAATAGAAAGAGGGGAGAGAAGGGGATTTTCCAACAGAGGACTGCAAGGAGAAAGGAAAAATAAAAAGCTCTTATGGTTGAGGGCAGGAGTAAGAGGATCATGTACATGGGAGGAGTGGCAAGAGAAAGGGAATTTGTTGATTTAAAATAACATGTAATTAATTAAAATATTTAAATTATACTTCTTATAAATTTTAAAATCAGTTTCACATTTCCTATTTCAAACAACTTCAGGTCAAATATTCACCTTATTATGTGTAAAATATTTCACTTTTGTCAGCTTCATATATTTTACATCATTCTTAATTTAATTTGTTTTACAATTTGTAATTGCAAAAACTTTATTTATTGTAGTCAGAAGATAGCTGCAATATGGCCAAAAAAAAGTTTAAAGCTGAATTAATTATGATAGAACTATGTCTTATTTCTTCATTTCTTTAACACTAATGTCATTGTGTTGTGGTAAAATCATGCTTTACACTTACTCGCAACAGGACACACTTTCTGCTCAATAATAAAAATCAAGCCCAAAACCATGCTATTAGTTTGTTATCAGACGATATTGAAACATGGTCTCCTCCATGTTAGTGAAGATGAAAATTGAAAATCCAATTCAACTTGCAGAAGATAAGAGTGTTTTTGAAGGCAAATCTAAAATTTCTCATTAATCCTTTGTGGTTTTGTGAGCAAGTTCCATTACCTTTACTTTGTTCTGCAAATAATACTATTAATTTTCAGCAAATTATATACTTTAATGTTTCAAGAAATTAAATGAGAGTGTTGTCCAAATGTTTTCCAGTGGAATGACTTGATTCCAGTGGAATGATTTGATATTGAATACTTTCCCATGTTAATAAATTGGAACTTCTTTATTTTTCAAGTAAACTATAAAATTCATTATTTAAAAGTAGTCTTGCGGTATCATCAAGAACTCCTCTAACAATTGGATTATTCTATTTATTACCAGAAGTCAAACATCCTTTACTTCACATTATAATACACTTCCAGTTTATGAAAATAAAGTTCCTGACTTCTCATTGCAATTATTAACTTACAATTAAAAAAAAAAAAAATTACAGAGTGCTCACTAGAACATTTTTTTCTTCTCGTATTTTTGACTGTTGCAAAAATTATCTGTTAACATGTAGTTCTTATCATATTTTACTGGTCTCAATAGTTCCATAACCTCTAAGTCTAAGATTCATAAATGTCAAATATTTCTTTCTTGGCATGAAAGAATTTGTTTTGTAAAGGTGTTTCAAGTATTATATTGAAATTTAGAACAAATATTATCAACATCTATAATTTTCCCTATTTAATTGACATTGCTTCTCTTTTTAAAAACTGAAAAACAAATTCACCAACATGAAACAAAAAAGTATTTCATAAAAATCCTTCAAAATACCTGACACCATTTCACCATCTTCAATGTTGCTAGCACATGGGATTGAACATCAGCGGGGGGAATCAAACGAAGTGTACTTCCACAAACCTTATTTTCAGTCTCTACAATTTTTTATTGATTTATTGAACACAGTAGATTTTAAAAAATGTCAAGATAATTTGCAGCTTTTCAGGAATTCAACAATATATTCTGATGGTAAATTTGTGCTGCAACCTTTAAGGATCATTACTTCTCAAACATCTTCAGAACTATTTCTGTAACGTATTGTACCTACAAATAGTGTTCACAGGTACAATATGTACATGTAGATATTATGTAAAACTGTTCATAGGCAGAAGAGGAAGTCTAGTTCAGAAAAACTTTTGCTGTTATTTTATTAGTTATGTTAAAAATGAAAATAATTGTCAAAATATTCAGAAAAATATAGACAATTAACATGCACTATCAAATATGTTCAGTTATACAAATCTTCCTCACACACACATGCGAAAACGTTATGTCAGAACAAAAGCACAAATACTTGAGTTATACGGATAAAATGGCTCCTTAATAAACTTATATCAGGTCATTAAAGGTAGTTTCCTTAGCGTTATTTTACTGTTTGAAGCATTTAATTAAGAGGAAAAATTAGCAATTAATTTTATTGAATTTTATTTGATGACCCAAGGACAAATAATTTTTGAGACTTATATAGTTCTCACAATTATTGGGCCACATTTGAGGCAGTCAACATGATTCTTCTACTTTCCATTTTACACTGCTGTAAGTTAATGAAAGAAAGGGTAATTACAAACTATATTATTCAATCTTTATAATACATAACATTACTTTATAATACATCAATAATCCTAATAATCATTATTGTTACTTAATATCACTCGCTGCAGTTTGCCAGTTCTTAACAGCAACTTCTGATACACTTCTTAATACTTCCAAACCCTTCTCCTTAATTAAAAGGTCACATATACTTGTAAAGTGGCAATATGTAACAAATGGGTTTGGAGTTGATCCACGCTGTTTCTCAAATGTCTCTTTCAGTTCTTTCAATTCATCTAATTTCTTAAGACCTTTTAACATTTTGGTTTCTTCTTGTTCTTGGTTAGGGTTTTCCTTGTTTTTGATTTCTTCTCCTGCACTTTGATGTTGTTGTGCTACGAGACTAGCTACTTCCTGTTCCCATTTCTTTATTTCCACTTTTTGTTTATAATATGCCAGAGCAGCTGCTTCTAATGGCAATTCATTTGAATAACTTGTTAACAAAGGCACCATAAGGTCTTTCCAATTAAAGTTTAACATTGCTATATTTTTGTCAGGTTTGTGGTCCCCCGAGCCATCATGTGCACTCTTTTCCTGAGACAACGAAAGATCTTCCAATTTCTCAATAACTTCATTTCCATTACATGCATTCGTTTCTGATTCAATCTCTGTTTTAGTATTTAAAGTAATTTTTCCTTCATTAATGTCTGAAGGGCCTTTGTCTTTGAGGTGAGTGTTAGTAGAATCCCTATCCAATATACAATCATTCTCATCTTTGACACCAATGAAGTCAGTCCCACAGAATGAGAGTTCAGCCTGTAACCATGAAAAATATCCAGCGTACAAGTAAAACCTTAGACTTCTTCTCAGAAATGTAAGATTTTCTGGTTCAGACTCCTTTTTAAAGATATTATCTTTCTCTAACACACCTGAAACAATGAAAATTTACATTAGAATTTGAATACAATACTTGAATCAATGTTTTGAATACAATACTTGAATCAAACTTTTTATAATTATTATTGAACTTCATGATGTCTTAACTAGCCTTAACAAATTACAAGTGAGAATATGAGAATACTTTGCCACAAATACAGAAGAGAAGAACTCAGTGTACCCGAGTCATCTCTAATACAATGGTGCGACTTTCCTGGTAAGAACATGAAAATTTTATCTCACTTCAACAAAAGGGTTCAGAATGCCTCCCTGGAAAAGAATACTTGAAGCTGCATCTGTGTAACCAACACATATTTCAGGAACCTAGGATAGGCCTCTCTTATTTTAGACTTCAAAGTAAAATTTCATTCTGCCTGCATGTCCAACAATTTTTTTTTATTATCTTAACCAACTTCAGTTTTTTGCTTTTACATGTGAAACAAGCCAGTTTTGTCTACAACAGGGAAAACAGTTAATTCTAAAATGTAATACTTTCAATAACTTGGGAACTGCTCTTCATGTTAGGCACCTGCTATCTGAACATTATAACAACATGAAACAAGTTATGTACATGTAAGGGACATCAATAACTAAGGTGTCCTTAAGAATCAGTATGGATTCCATGGGTTAATTTTCATATAATTTAAATGCTGCCGACATCGCAAATTCAGAGGCAAAATTCTGCCAATTCCAAAACATTTAGATTCAAGATGACCTTTATAAATGTGCTGCATGAAAGAAAAAAAGCTGTAAAAATTCATCTTGCTAAAAAGTCAAATCAAATGAGACATTCAAATGAAAATAATATCTTCATTGGCAGGTACCTGACATTTCACATTTCAGGCAAAAATGTAATTTGCCAGCTTATGAAAATGGAGCTGGCACATGCCAAAATGTACAAGTAAATTATCACTGGCATTTGCTACCTGTTCTTGAAAGAACTTGGAATATGGAGAAAGATACTTCTACATAAAAGCCAATAATCTTGATTTCATGCAAAATGTTAGATACCATTATTTATACCCAAACATCGCAAAATGACCAGGATTTTCCAGGGGAAAATAAAAAATTGAAAGACGGAAAGAAGGTAAAGAAAAATGTCACCTTCTCTCGTTTGTGTGATAATTATTAGTATGTTATTAACTAGATTATATAATTCAAATACTTTATTTCATGCTCAAATTATCACAACTGTATCTCATGATTAACACCTCCAGTCCTATGCCTGAATGTGATACAAGCTATCGTTTCAATCCTACTGGATGGAGCCCAAGAACAACTCAGGTATCACATATACTAAGTTTTGTAACCTATAACAAGCAATGTTTGGTCTTTGCTTATGTGGAAAAACATTTTCAGGGTCCTTATATTCCTCTAAGAATACTGGATATTTCAGTGCACACCACCACAGAAGCAAACTATTTCTATACCGGTTTCATTCTCCAATATCTATCTTATCCTGTCACCTCTGGGCTTTTGCCTTAAGGAAGGTCGCAGTATGGTGACCAAATTGTTGGAATTTTTACCATGAATGAGACGTCTCCCAGATGACCAGGTATATATTGATTCTGGCTGCAGAAGCATATGCTTTTTTGTATAAATTACATTTCAATATTATTTTTAATGTGTAGAAACTTTTTCAGACAATAAAAAGGGTTTTATTGAAATGAACACTAAGTTTCATTAATGATCTCAAGTCAATATTTTTTCACCCTGGTGAAGTTTCAGTTTTATTTGCCATGAATTTCATACAACTTTCTTTAATTTATCACTTGATGATTATTCCCAAAAATGCCTCAAAATGGCCAGGATTCAGGAATTACTAAGGTGTTAAAAGGTCAGAACTTAAGTCTTAAATTTGAAACGCTGTTCTAAAATCTGCATGAAATTTCACCCCATTTTTAACAAAGTCACTTTTCCTTAACTTGAGAAGTGAAGGAAGAGAATTCAAAATGAAATGATTATCTCAGGGAGTGGGAGTAATAAGTGCTACAAGTTGTGTTAGGAGGTAAGGGGTGGGAAGGGCATAAAAAAGTTAATACTGCAAATGAATTATTTCGACTGATTCCTAAGCATCAATACGTCACAAAAATGGAGCTTACCAATCTGTAGACAACTCTAGAGGTAATTGAAAACTACGAAGATGTAAAACAAACCATTGTTGAGAACATGAACTTCTAATTTAAAACAAAACTTATTAAATTATTTTAGGTATCTATTCTGCCACTCATTAATTCAATAAACTCATAAATTCACTTACCATGAGGAGCCAACCATCGAAGGTACTGAAGCAAAGGGAAGACATTTGGATGCATTAACTGGAACTGGTAGCACATATTAGCTATTTGAACCAGGTGCTGTAATGAGGTGATCTCATCAACAGCACAGGAACTTAATGCTACATCTGCACTTACTGCCAGCCACAACTGGAAAAATTTAATAAATATGAGAAATATGCACCAATATATAAAGGCAAAGAATAATCATGAAACTACATCAGTAAAATCTAAAAATAATCTAAATAATTCTATTACTTTTTGTAATAAGGGCACAACATTTATCATGAAAACATGAATTAGCAATTTTTACTCAAAAATTTCAAGTTTTTAGGTAGATGTTTTACCAATGCATTTCGAATTATTAATTCTTCAGAGAACAGAACTTAACTTACTTTACTCTTACTGTCTGGAACATTTCGTTCAACACTCTTCTCTAGATCTTCATAAAATTCTGTGGGGTCTTTTTCATATTCCTTCTTGTATTGCTGGAAAATCCACTGAGTTATTGGTTCTTGAATAACCAACTTGCCAGTTAGTAACTCACATATACTTTGGTGAGTAAAAACAACAATAGTCCAAGACTGAAATAAATAATGAATACTATCAAGTCTTCAAAATTCCCACATTTCTACATTAGGAGCTTGTATTTGGAAAATTTCTATTGCCAAGAAAGCAAATTAAGTCTACATACTTATATAGTTCTTTATCAAGACTTTCATATTTGCTTTAATGTAATCAGTTGGTATGTTTACAATAAATATTTCATTCATATCATTATCATGATAGGTAATAAGAGAAAAACATGCTATAGTTTAATGACAGACAATAGACTTGCAGTCCATCCACACAGACTTTCAGTCTTCATTTGGTAAGATTTAGGGATCAATAAAAATTCCCATTTTATTATAAATATCTGAAAATGTACTATATATCAACTAAGAGATTTACTCCTTAAAATGACAACCAAATATTTGAAAATAATTTCTAAAATTATTAAAACTTAAGACAAACCTTAAATTCTGAATATTGTGTAGTCACTTTCAGAGCCAACTCCCAATTTTTATGTAACAAGGATTGAATTATACAATTTTTTGCGTAACATAAAGCTACTGGTTGTAAATTGCTTTTGTGAGCAATATCAGCAGCCAGCCAAAGACATCGTGCATCGTTACGCTTGCCAAGTATCTCAGCTGCCCCAGGAAGATCTCCTACAGACATCAAACTGTTGAAATAAAATTTTATCTGTAAGTGTAGAATGAATCATTGTGATAGTAGCCTACACAGTTTTTTTATTTTTATTTTTAGAATTTTGGTTTAAGAGTAATATGTTTATGTAAGCAGAAGCAAAAAGTAAGTATGTTTATGTAAACTTGTATCTGAAAATGAAACAAAGAGAAAATACTTGAATCTATTCTAAAAATTAACACCCAAAGAAATACATATTAAAATAATATAAGTAACTTCATAACAACTTTTTTGGTTTTTTCTTCCTTTTCTTTTTTTATGAAAAGATCATTTTCATGGATGCACTTCTTGGCCTCTTACAAAAATAGTTTAAATTAAACATTTTTAAAGTGCTTTAATTGGACTATAGCAGTTACATATTAACTTTTTTTCCAAAAACTACAATACACCTTGTTGCAAAATTCAGGTATCTTGTCTAGTATGTTCTGATTTTAAATTTGTTCATCTTTCTTTATAAAATGGATTTCAAAATAAGTCATGTCAGGCCTAAACGTCTATTTCATGACACCTATATTAATAAAAAAAATAAAATAAACCACACATATACCATACATTTGTTTTTACAACATTTGCTTGACTGCTTGAGCTATTTTCAGGAACAGTTTAAACATTTTCATTAGGACATTTACTTAAAAGATTTTCTCTGGCAAAATTTAGGCTACATTTTTAACCTACAATCTTCTACGTAAATAAAATATGAAAGTAATAATGTTTGACAGATAATTTCCTCCCAGACAACTAAACTAAATTCAATAATTAAAAATTCATAAATTTTTCCAGTTTAGGTTCTTATATTACTATAATGGATGGCTATCAAAGATAAACCAATTTCATTTTTGTTAACGGAAGACTACCACATGTTAGCAATTTACAATTGATTCGAAGTTTGCAGCTGCGCACAGCAATGATGATTACAGTGTATGTAACAGAGCAGGACAGGGTCTTTTACAGGAATAGATATGAACCAGTTAGTCCAAATCTACTCCATCATTTAATTTTGTTACAATACATAACTATCTCTAAGTTTCTATTACTTGATATAGAATTATGATGCACAGTAGATACCAAAGTTAGTGATCTATTCTATACTAGTCACAAAAGACCCAAAATTTCTTTTAGGAAAATCCAAAAATGGATGGATCTCCCGAAGTTTATTTATGAGAAATTAACAGAGTACGAATGTCTTGTTCTTGCATAATGTATCAATAAGTATTTAGCCAGTCATGATTGAACTGAATAATTGTTCAAAAGTTTCTGTTTCTTGACCTCACAATAGACAGCTGAAACAATGTCAAAGAGTCAAGCTGTCTTCCATTATTAGACATACCTTTCTAATTAACAGGCATCTGTCTCTTGCTCAAGGAATAGTCTCAAAAATTACAGGAACAAAAATAACTGAGATAAAAACACAAAACGCAATACTACTCACAAACAATGAGACCTGAAATTGGAGCCAGGTTACAACATTTCTTGCCAGGTTACAACAAAAAGTCATTATATTTGTTTTTATTAATTATTTAGTGACAGTCATAAAACGGGTAGGCAAACTAGTCACTAAAAATCACCCTACTACCTTCTATTATTTAGCCTAACTATGTAATAAGAAAAAAAGATAATGGCTCCGAAGGACTCTGGTGGCCTGAGTATGCTTAAGAATATCAGTTCAGAAAATGTGCATCTACTTAAACAAAATTATCTCAAACACAAATCTATCACTAGAAGTAAATAGCCAATTTTGTAGGGCAAGTTCATTTGGAAAAGATAACTTCACTGCAACAGGACTCTAAAATATTCTTTTAGAAAGATTTTATGGTAATGAAAACATTGGAAACAAACCATTCAGCGGCCCTCTCGTAGTGTCCATCTAGGATTTGTTGCTGTGACCAATCTCTCACAATGCTAATAGTTAATGGATCATCTTCACTAAGTCGCAGTTTTGCCACAGTAAGAGCTTCACGGAAGAGATGATGATGAAGGAATAATTGGATGGCTTCTTCCACTTTATGGCATGCAAGAAGATATGAGGCTGCCTTATGAATTCTACCTTCTCCTGTGAGCTGTTCTGCATACATGCGACATGTGTCTAACCACAACCTGTAAAACATAATAATCAGAAGAAAAAAAAAAGAAGAACGTTTTCAGCCATCTTAGTTTCCTTATTACGAATTTTTTCGTTTATACTGAATACAAAATGTATTTTTAATCTTCGACATATAAATAATATTTATAACATACATAATTGATATATCAAATTATATTAGAATTGAATCTTAAACAAGTCAAAATTACTTAAATTTCTCATTACTTAAAGGTCTCTTAAATTTCAATTTGAAAGGGGATTTTAGATAACTTTTGGGGAAGTGATCTAACTGGCATTATACAATTATAAATACCTTTGAGAAACCATAGGTGCCATTGATACCAGCCAATCAGTGAGTTTTTTCTTCCTTGCAGATTCCCGTATGGTTTCACCGATGTCACCTTTCCATAAAGCAATATGTTGAATGGTTTCCAGATTGCCGTTACGAGAATGTTGGCTTTCTGTTCACATTCACAAAATTCCTTAATTATACACTCAAAATTATTTTTTACTAATGTTGCATTCTTTTGTTTTCAAATTGTTGTCATTTATTATCTTTCCACAAAAACTCTATAATATGAACAAACCTTCCAATTTCAGTAGTTCAAGAACATCTGTTCGGATGCCCAGTAAATTAGCTTCTGTATTAGACTTGTCTTCTGATTTTAAATATGTCTGGAAGCGATCTAAGACATTACTGGCAGACCCTTGCCAAATCTGAGCCCACACCGGAAAATATGAGCGTGCTTTCTGACGACCAGACTTTGGAAGTAGTGTTTCATGTTCTTGAGCAGTTATACCTGAATTAGGCATTGGGCTACCTGAAACTGCAGCCTCATCTGATGTAATGTCTGGAAAAAGTAAGTCCAAAAATTATTATTTCAGACCTGTCATCAATGGGTTGAGGATGTATGCAGTAAAAGCAGAAAAAATATGCATGCAGATGTACTAAAAAAATAGGAAAACACGTACAGACTATTGTGTCTTCTATTTTACCCCAACAAGCTTTGAATTTTTAAGAATAGATTTAAGAATAGAAGAACCTGGTGTCACATGCAAATTTTCATTGAAAAATTTGGAACTGTGTTTGAGAAAATGTTATTTGACCATTACTGAAAATGTGCAATTTTGAGTTCATTTTCACAGAAAAGTTTTCGGAGCAGAGGACAGATCATGGCATAGTCTTACACAGAGAAGATTAGTTGCGCAGACATGTTAGGATAAGGACAGTCAGACAAAATGTGCCAAACAATTCAAACACAAAAGAAACAAACTCAAAAGCTATATCATGGTTTTTATTTTACAGAAGTGCACAACAACAGTTTGCACTTAAAGCAAAAATATCAATCATTATAAATACGTTGAAATATGCACAATAAGATTTTTTATACAGATTCCAAACAACATGAAATGAGTATGTTCATTATGAATATTATATGTTTATGAAGAAAATAAAAAATAAAAATAAAAACAAACAACAACAGGCAAATAATAAAAATTTTCAACCTAGTCATGAATGTGCGATCATTCCACTGAAAATAACATTTAATAAACTTGTGAAGTTATTATTACACTAAAATGTGCAGTTTAAAACATACTTGTCTTCTTTCGAACTTTACTTTTTTTGAACATAAATTGAAATGTTGGTACTCTTCTAATTGTTAACAAACTTCTAATTTTGAAAACAAATTACTTAATTCCACTGAATGTAATAAACTGGGGGAAGTGATTTTGTCTTTGAATTGAACTATATTCTGATTAAAATGTAAGGTGAATTGACAGTGATCAGTTGGGCTTTGTTACAACTTAAATTGTTGATGTTGAAGCACCCAATTGAATAACTGTGTTCCAACTGATCAAAAGTCAATTTTACACTAAATTTAATTCAGGGAACAGCTGACACTGAAAATGCAGGAGAACATCCTTTAGATACTAAGATCCTACTTGTGGTGGTCAACCTATCTTAAAATTATCTCCAATGGGAATCTGTTCAGGGTCCCTGCTTCAGAATACTTGGAACAATTCATGAGAGATGAATGGCACAGTCTTATGAACATGCTTTGAATGCCAGATTACAGAACTTAGTCTACTTTGCAAAAGACTTTTGCACATCATCCAGGGGCTCCTAAGAAGAATCATTTACCTTCTCTTTAATCATCATATACAGTTAAAATCAGATTTACTACTGGATTCTTTCATTCAATTTTCTCTTAATAATTAGTACATACACCATAAACAGTTTCTTTTCTCATTTTGAAATACTGTTTTCTGTTTTGGTCTTTCCCTATTGATATTTTTAATCTTAAAATGCTCTCAAGACTTTTATGAACATTTTGATATATATTTTTCATTAAAAAATTGTTGTTTTTGATCATTTTATTGTGTTATGAATGCCCATCAGACTTCAAGAAATATCAGTTTCAAGAAATAAGATGAAATGGACACGAGATATTACATGATAAATGATTTTACACTGTACTATTCTGGGGGAAAAAGGACAGTTTCCATATTGTTTATATGGAATTGGATTTATGGTTACCCTAGAAATAAAAAAAACAACTATTTGGTGTTTTGTACCAATTGGAGAAAGATAATGTAAAATTATACTGAAAGGTACATTCCATAATATTACTATATTTTCTGCACTTGCTCCAGCGGAAGAAAAATTGGTATTATATAACATGTTAAACAAAGAATGTAGTAAAATTCCTAAATACCATATGGTGGTGTTAATAGGAGATTTTAACACTAATATAGGTACTGAAAAATCAATATCTATGGCTGCCGGGAAATACTCACTTCATACAGAAACAAGTGAAAACTGAAAACTTTAGGGAAATCTAGCATTTTAAAAAAATATGAAGATTATGAGTATGAGTTTTGAATATAAGCTCATACATAGACATACTTGGATGATCTCTGGAACAACACTGTACAATCAAATTAACCGTGTTACAAAGAGACATTATACATCCATAATAGATGAAAGATCAGGTAGAGGACCTAACTGTAACTCGGACCATTATCTGGTGCAAGTGTTATTGAAGGAGAAACTGGCAATTGCTGGAAGAGTTCAAAGGATTAAAAGAATTAAATGGAATACAAAATCACTTAAGGAGTGTGTCTAAAAAGAATTGAAAATAATCTGAAGGATTTTAAGGAGAAAGAATCAATAGAACATTGGGGATGCATTAAGGTATCCATAACTGATGCTGCAGAAAAAAGCTATTGGCAAGGTAAACCATAAATGAAATATTGGCAGGGTATATATGGTAAAAGCAGGGAAGATGCACTAGAAGAAAGAAATAATCATAGGAAAATAATGACGAGAAACAAGAATGACAAAGGAAAACTATAATCAGAGTAGAAAACAGATTATGAAGATAATTTGAAAAAAGAATTTCTTAAATTTAAAATAGAAGACAACATAATAATATGAATGAAAGTAGAAAATTCTATCAAGCGGTAAAAACTATGTCCCAAAACTATATTAACCCAAAAGTAGTTTATGTAAAGATAAAAATGCCAAATTAATTCAGGATGAAAATGAAGTAATGAGAAGATGGGCTGAAGTTTTATAGAGAACTACTGAATAGGATAGCTGATGAGGAAATGCTAATGAGGAAATTGAAGTGATAACACTAACATTGGACGAAATAAGAGAGGCTGTAGAATTGATCAGGAATGGTAAAGCACCAGGCGAAAATGGATTAATAGGAAAATTATTTAAATAAGGAGGGAATGAATTATTGACGGCATTACATATGATATGTAACATTTGGAATTTAAAGGACATACCCAGAAAAAGAGAAATGGGCTTATATGTTCAATATTTAAAAAAGGTAATAAGCTCGAGTGTAAAATTTAGAGGAGCATTACAGAATTAAATGCAGCTTACCAAATACATTCAAGATTAGTGCAACAAAGAGTGAATAGTTTTGCAGAAAAAATACTAGATGACTACTCATGTGGATTCAGAATAAGCAGAGGAACCACTGATCAAATATTTGCTATAAGCCAAATAATGGACAAATGCTATGAAAGGAATATAGATCTACATATGCTCCTTATAGATTTCAAGCAAACTTTTGATAGTATTAATTCGAAGCAACTATTTACTGTTTTAAGAAAAGGTGGAATGCCCAGTGCACTAATTAAACTTATCAAAATTGCAATGGTCTAAATCAGTCCAAAGTATATGTAGGAGGTAGGTGAGAGTTTTAAAAGGACATCAGGTGTTAAACCGGGAGATTCACTTTCAGCAACTCTTGTAACCTAGCACTTTATAGTGCACGAAGAAATCTTAATGTTAGCGAAAGAATAATATATGAATCTCTTCAATGTCTTGTGCCAATGATGTGGTGCTAATAGCAAGAAATAGGGATATCCTAGAAGGCATGTTTAAAAATGCATATGAATCTACTAGGAGGTTGCAGAGTATAAGGATAAATGGATATCATTTTGAAGGAGTTAGTGAATTTACATATCTTGGAGTAAGCCTCTAAAACACAAATAACATATCTGAAGAAATTAATCAGAGAGTGATAGTGGCAATAAAGCCTATTATGCAGATATGAAATTACTAAAATCTGTACCTTTGACTTAGAAAACTAAAGTCAAACAATATAAAACAATGATCAGACCAGTAGACACCTATGGAACGGAGACATGGATTTTATCCAATAATGATATGGAGACCCTGCATAGATTTTAAAGAAAAGAATTTTAAAGAAAAGAGATCAGAAAAATTGTTGGTACACTTAAAGGGAGAGATACATGGAGAATAAGATATGAGGAAATTAATCATATTTCAAAAGGGAAGGATGTAGTTAGGTTTATGAAATCACATTAACTGTCCTGGCTGGGTCATATGCAAATGGAATGCCTAATATTATGTTACATGGTAAAATAATTGGACTAGGAAGATGAGGCAGACCAAGAACAAGGTGGATCCAGGATGTGGACAGAGATATGAAGAAGATGGAGATTACTGGATGGTGGGGACAGGCAGAGAGAAGAGGAGAATGGGGACGTATAGATGAAGGTAGCTCAAGCCCATACCTGGCCTGTAATGCTATTGGAAGAAGAAACAGACAAAACAGAAGAAGAAGTCCATCAGCATAGACTTATTCTGAACTGCTTGAATCTGATGTTTTGTGCCTTAATTTTTTTTTTAATAAACATATGACTTGCAATGAATTGATGGTTGTTTGTTTATGTTGCTCAGGATGTCAAATTTCTTATCATACAGGTGGGTACATGCGCACTTAAACCTGTAGCGTTGCATGCAGACAGTATATACCAGGTTGCATGTTAACAGAGGTTAAAGATACATGTGACAGATAAACACAGCATTATCAAGTAGCTATGAATTGAAGAGCAGGCAGAGGAACTTGCACATCTGCTCTCATTGGAAACACATGAAGTAAATTTTTCGAATTTTGAGTTACTTGACTTTTTTGTTCTGTATTATATTTTATGATATCTATTAGACTCCACTTTTGTTGAAATATTTTTAAAAGTTCATTTTTTAAAACACACGAAGAACATCTCTTGTTGTTTTTCTAAGATGAACACGTTAAGCATCCTAAAAGTTTTGCTTGTAAGCTGATAAAAAAAATACTGGAACTACAAATTACTATTAGGTTTGAAATCTTTAATATTTAATATCAAAGTGTACGAATAAATACATACCAGCAATCTATAACTAACCTTTTTCTGGCCCCGAAACTGCATTGTTTTTTGTTGATAATTGTATTCCTGAAGATTTTTTAGCTGCATTTTTTTCTTTCTCTGTGACACATTACATCAAAATTGCTTATTTCTCTCACACAATGTAATTTTAAATGTAAAATTGCACACCTGTAAACTCAACAAATAGAAATTAGAAGTTCACTCACTCTTATCAAATGGTACAGTTCGGTCCAGACTTGATATTCGCCAAACACGAAGTGTGCTGTCTGCGGAACCTGTCAACACTAAATCAGGATCCAAAGGACTCCAACAACCAGAGTGCAACACACCAGCATGGCGAGAATAGTTGCCAATAGGTTGCTGCTGCAGAACATCCCATATCTACCAAAATAAGGAAGAGAAGTCTTATTAATTTATTTTAATACTCTTATTCCTGCAATATGACAGACTAAATGTTTACTATATACTGTAACTTTTTACACTGTAAATTTTATATTTTCTATTAAAGCGTAAATATTCAGATTATAGAAATTGCTAGTTTCATAAAAAACAATTAAAATGTGCAAAAAGGTTTGTTTTGCTTACCGTATCACTCTCAAATATTTTTCAGATTAACAAATTTGTGCACACTTACGCACCAAAGCAAAAATAAATACAAAATAAAATTAAGAACTAATGAGAATTTATTTAATTTTCATTCAAATTAAATAATTTTTGCAAATTCAAAGTTATTAAAGAATTGCTAAAAATGTTTCAATAGAAGATAGATTTTCCAGACTGGAAGGCCGTGGTCTAGTTGGCATTGTTGGGCCAGGCATTGTTTGGCCCAACAATACCAACTAGACCACGGCCTACCTGCTCGGAAAATCATCTTCCATTGACTCCTGCCATGGAAGCCTACGATACTATATAATGTTTCAATAATTTGTAGAGCTCAATTTCTATGCTATTTCCAAACATAAGTACTTTCAATTAAAGAAATATCAAATACCTGAGCAGTTTCATCAAAGGAAACTGACAGCAACTGACCACTGACATGAGGGCTCCAACACATGCCCACTACACACTGTTTGTGTTGGCTAAAGACAGCCACACATTCAACATCACCAGATCCATCTGAAAAGATGATTTTGAACTCAACAGCCAAAGCAAATTAACCCCATTTCAGACAATTTTGTGACTAAAACCGCAATCACAATTTACGTTGGGGTAAACAATTGCATTTTGTCTCAACACAGCATTTGTTATTGGTGTTATCATTGTGTGGTGAGTTATCATTGGCATTTCTAATGAAGTCATTATATGAGTCATCACTGCCAACAATATTGTTGGCAATGACGACGCATATAATTATTTCACAGCATTTGTTATTGCTGCAAAATGTATAAAAATATATTTCAGCAATACATTCAGTAATAATAATTTCCTCGAAAAAACTATATTTCAGAAATAGCCATTGTTTCTTAAAACATTTCAGGTTAAAAGTATGGGAATGGTAATTATATATGTGCAAAAATTCATCTAAAGAACTTATCAATTAAAGTTTATCATTGATTGCACAATCCAGATAATTTACTTTGTACTAAACCCATTTACATACAAATCATAGGTCTTTTTTCACAAATGGATTACTAAATTCAAACAAAAGATATTTAACCCAATTTTGATCCAATTAAACAATCACAGCTTGAAAAATTAGAAAAATATAAATTCCACAATCAATTTGTGATATACAGAGGAATCCCAAGGTCGGAAGATTTCTTAGGCCCCATCTCACCACCCACACTCCTCTACACCCAAAAATGTGCGTTTTATTTTATTTTTCTGACAACTTAAAACTAATTTATCTGACTGAATAAATATGAAAACTAATGAAATAATCTCAGCTATCTGGAAAATTTTTTCTTTTCAACAAATTCAAACATAAAGCTTTTTTGGGAGATAAAAAAACAAACAATTTTTTCTTTTTTATTTCACATACACTTTGAAAATGGCTGCTGTAAATGTGCTTTTGTAGCAATACTCAGTTTCTTTTCTTTTTTTCTATTTTTTCCCTCTATTTATCTATTTGGGTGACTGGTTTAATTCCTGGTATACTCACTAAAATGGCAGCGCTAAAACACGCAAAACACATTTTTGGAATTTCTTAGACTCTTCTTGCCAGATCTAAAAACAAATTATCAGTTTGCCACCAGGAGAGCAAGGCGCACTGAATGACATTATTTGTTTCGACTGGTGTATGGGAAAGGGTGTAACTGTGACTGATGGACCTGCACATATGCACACTCGAAGTTACTCAAATACTGTATAGGGATTTTTTTCTTCAAAATACAGTAAAAAGTAAATCTTTTATAACATAAATTTGAAGAACTGTGAAATGAAATGTCTACATATTTTTTTTATTATTTTGTCTCAAAATTGGGGGGCCCCCCTGAATCCCGCCTCTGGTGGCATCTCGCTACCATATTCCCTTACTACATTTTCTCACATAATACATCCATTTGAAGACCTATTAAAATACTCATTTATACGATAAACAATCTTGGCTAGCATGTTGGTAACATGATCCACGATTCACATGTTTTCCAAGCATATATGTACATACATGAAACTCACTTTCTATTAAGGAAGTGAGATTAAATATTTTGATAGGAGATTTTTTTGAAGCGACAGCCAACCAATGCTGACAGGGAGAATAACCAGTATCAGTGGCAGTTCCCTCTGGATGCCAAGCCAAGCTCTGCACTAAATTCTTATGTGCATAAATTGTGTGCAGCACTGTAGTATTTGTTGATGTTACAAGTTGAACTGATCTGCAAATACACACATTAATTGCAAAAAAAGTTCAACTAAACTCTTAATATTACACAAAAATCAATAAAACCCACCCATCTTCATTTCCCAATGCAAGAATGGAATTATCAGGTTTCCACGCAAGGTCTGTTCTAATTAATGATTTCCTTGAGGCTGCATTTAATGGTGGAAGATCATTCAAATTTTTTGCCTCTGAAAAATAGAAAAAATTATGTAATACACTGATGAATGCTGACAAATTCAGTCATTTACATTTTCGTAATTACCCGCTTCTGGATTATGAATGTCATATTGTACAGCATCACCCTCACCACAGGAATATAACGTATATTTAGTCTCTGAAGGACCATCTCCATCACCTTTAATTAAGAATTAATCGTCAAGCTCATTAAAATATAATGAAAATAAGTAAGATACAAATGAGAAATGCACACTGAATTACTTGGAAAAGCCAAAAGATAATATTTTCAAGATCAAAACTATTTTAATTTTAAAATACTAAATTTATTAAGCAAATCCCATTATTTCCTTCACAAAAGATTTGTAGATCAAATGAGTACCTTAAATTAATATTGAAAGAAAGTGTTTAATGATTAACTCGCACAAAGCTTAATTTGTCAAAATCATAGACATCAAAGACATATATTAAAAAGACAATGTAATTCAAATCTGTCATTTTTGATAGTACCACTTTATCATGCAATGTTTAATAATTTATTAAAATTTGTAGTTAAATAATTTCTGTGGCTCAACATTTTCTTTTGAATTAAGTTTGGAAGTAGCAGAAACCCTAACACAATTTGTGTAATGCTTTAATCACTGACATTTAGACTTACCTGCACCAAAGAGAGCTGGGCCCCATCCCACAACATAGAGAGACTTTGTGTGGTATGGTCTCAAAAGCACAGGAGGCTTATTAGAGTTAAGTGTATCAAAAATTCCCACTCTACCTTCAGCTGTACCAAAAGCTAATCGACTTTCTTGAGTTGGATGCCAAGCTACCTGTTAATATTAAACATTTAATTCATTAATAGGACATAGACATTTTCTTCTCTCACCTAGCTCAAAATTTAGTCACTGAAAGTATTTTTTGTACTTACACTGGTGACTTTACCTCTAACTTTTTGCCAGAGAAAACTAACATCAAATGCAGATGAACTGCTTAAATTCCAAACTCTAATCACTGCATCACTCACTCCAAATGCAATCCTGCAAATAAAACTCTGAATAGTATACTGAAATTTGAAATATGTTTAAGAAATAATAAATTTTATATGTAAACAAATAAAACAATACTACCAGATTCAAACCTGTTAGGATCAATTGGTGAAGCAGCAATACAATAGACTATTCCTCCTATGGTCGGTACACAAGTTATTTCTTTATTTGCATTTAGATCATATCCAACTATCAACCTATCTTGAGAAGATGACCAAATAATCAATGGTTTCTCTGTTTGCTCAGATGAACAGGTCTGTCTCCAACTTGTTGCTGTAAAAGGTCCATAGGAGTATTGACGATGAAACAAAAATTCAAAAAAATGCACTTAAGGAAGAGACAAAGTTTTTGTCTTTAAATAGTTAATACATTATTGCTTCCATTTCAATTCAATTTAAGATTTTTTACTTTAAAGAGCAATGGAGTAAATAAACTTTTGATAATACTACACAAAGATCATGGTTTCATTTTCTTAGGGAAATCTGGAATGCTTCTAGTTAAATGGTATGAGTCAGTTATAATTTATTAAAGTAAATAGAAAGATAATACATTTTATCACTCACTTTCCTGAAACTCCAAACTGTTATCATAATTCTTATGTGCAGTCACAATGTTGAAAACTATACGATTATGAGAAGAATGGACAAGGTGCCATGTACGTGCTGAAGCTGCATCACCTCCTCCTGAATTCTTGCCTGATCTACAAGATAATATGATTTTCAATCTCTTTTGTTTGAAAAATTTCCACATCAACTGTACATTTCTATATCAACAATAATACTTACTTATTAAGAAAGCTTGCTTTTAAATCCCAAGCAATTACACGTCCAAGCCTCGTGCTGCAGATAAGAGTATTTGCTTGTGGCCAACATAAACTCACCCAATTCATATCAGCAGTTCCTCCTTTATTGGACCTGTACATATTCAATCATTTCATTACTATACTTTCTTTCACTCTGAATAAAAATAATATACAAAACATACAAACCTTTGCCCAGCCATAAGATGAGTAGGTATAGAAAGAGCTAGTTCATATCTACCATCACTGTTAGCCCGCCACAGAAATATTGTTCTCTCCTTTGCTGCAGATGCAAGAAATAATTCTTGGTTTTCTACACTGCTTTTACTTTTAAATGAATCAAAAATACTGTAACCAACAGGGCACCATGCAAGAGAGACAACTTCAGAATCATGGCCTCGCATTCGGAAAAGAATTTTACCTCGACCTGCAGATTAAATTAACATTTTATTGTATTGGAAATAGAACCCACTTTGATCGTAAAAAAAATGTAGCATACCTTGTATATTTATAATACAAACAAGTCCTGAGCGACAGCCAATAGCTATTAAATCTTTGTTATGAGGGCAACAAGAAAGAGTAGATGCAGATAACTTCCCTAAATTGAAAGAGTGTGTAGAGTTGCTGGGCAAGTCCCAGCACACAATATTATTGTTGTCATCCATTGATACGATGAGATCAGAATTAGCCACAGACCAATCCATGCAACTGACTTTTACATCATTCTGTTGATACAGGAAACACAATAAATATTTTACACACAAAATTGCAAAACTTTGAAAGTGAATCAATAACTTTACAAACCCCATGAGAAATATTTGCAAGAATAGGTGTCATTGTTAGTAAATCCCATACTTTAACCACTGCATCATCTCCAGATGTAGCAATACAGTTAAATAACGTACTTTCGCTGTTTTGAGGAGAAAATACTACCACTGTCACTCTTTCTTTATGAGCAGCAGGTACAATTTCAACTTTTGGCAAAGACTTGTCACAAATATTGTTTGTTTTGACGATGACTAGGTTGTTTCTGTTTCCATATGCCAAAGTTCCAGTTGAATCACAGGCAAAAGCATTGCTGAGATACCAGTTCGGCGACGGAGGAAATATTTGCTCATTCATATTGGAAATTCCTTACCGGTTTGGTTTCAGTATAAATAACTACAATTAGTAATCTCAAAGCGTGTTCACCAAACGACTAATTGCAAATGTAGACGACTTGGAATTACTGACTAAATATTGATCAATTCGAAATTACTATTTCCATCTACCACAATGACAAATCCTTTTCAATCTCAACGTGTCATTTCAAGCTCAATAACTGGTACGTTTCGCTACGTTCATTTTCATACTGCCGCAGTCGCACTTAAAAATGGAAATCATGTTCACCAACTTTGGAATAATACACCAAACACATTGTTTATAAAATAGTAATAATGAAAACATTATCCTAAAGTTAATTTTTTATTTAATTATTTTTACGAGTAATTCAAACTGATGTAATTATTAATGTAGGTTGTAAACAAATGATTCAAAGCTCTTATTTTCAAAAGTTGGTGCAAAAACAAAGAAAGCTGAACATCAACCTCTTTGGAAGAGTTGTTCAACTTCTTTGCAATATCAACGAACATCACCAAAACTATTCTTTTCCGGTTGTGTTCTGGTGTTTGCGAGGACTCGTGTGCGTGTGTGGGGAGAATTTTGTATCGCTTGTTTTCTCAACAATCATAAGAAAGAAGCAGGTATGAATCAGTTGAAACTAAAGAGCAATTTTGAAGTATATTAATGGATAGTAGTTTCGATAAATAGAGAAATTGTGGTTTCAGTGTTGAATGTAATTTCGAGAATGAAGGTTAGAGCATGTTGAAGATATGTTGGAAACTTGTGTAATGAAACTTATTGCGAAAAAGGAACATTTCGTTGTTATTTTACATGCTATATATAATGAATCTTCCATAGGTTGTGTTTGAGAAATTGCAAAGGAACAGACTATTTAAGTCATTGCTTTTGTATGTAGTTTTCAGGATGTTGATGCCTAAGAAGAATCGTGTAGCGATCTACGAATATCTTTTCAAAGAAGGTGTAATGGTCGCCAAAAAGGATTTCCACGCACCGAAACATCCTGAACTTCAAACTATTCCAAATTTGCAAGTAATTAAGGCAATGCAGGTAATTGATGGACTCCATTTGAATTCATTCAGTGATAAATACACACTATTAGCGGTGAATAGTAAAAAAATTGTCTCTTATTACAGAGTCTTAAGTCACGAGGGTATGTTAATGAACAATTTGCATGGAGACACTTTTACTGGTATTTGACCAACGAGGGTATTACTTACCTGCGCAATTACTTGCACCTGCCTCCTGAGGTAAGTTAAAATTTGAAATTGGTTATATTTCGTTTTCATTTGCATTTATTTATAAATTTGGCTTTGTAGATTGTGCCATCAACACTCAAGAGACAAATTCGTCCTGAAACTGCCCGTCCACGACCCAGTGCTCCTCGTTCTGAGGGCATGCGCCCATCTGAGGACAGAGCAGCATACAGACGAACCCCTGGCACACCTGGTGGCCCTGACAAGAAAGCTGATGTTGGTGCTGGTGCCACAGATCTGGAATTCGTAAGTTTTCAAATATGGTGTGAAAACAAAATTTTTTTTCTTCAAAAACTTTTCAGTGGAAAATTTTAGGCGAAATTCATAGATGACATTTAAGACACTTTAGATAATAAGATCTAAGGTCACTTACAGGACCATAGACTATCCAGTAAATTGGAAGTTGGGTTGTATAGTTCTTTTGATTCAGTGATGCAAATTAGTTGATTCAATTGAATCAGTAAACAGATTACATCTGTTCATATTACTTATACACTTGAATTTATTTAAAAAGTACAATTTTATAACAAACACATTTTGTGTTGCTTTCTGATGTATCCAAAGACTTTCTGGCCCTCATTATTGCAATGTGATTCATGCTTCTGCTGTTGCTCCAGCGCTCATGCTGCTTTATAAACCTTTCTCAACTTAAAGAGAATTACATGTGAAATAATAAACCATAAAAGGAATCATGGTGCCACAATAAACTTCTGATCAACCTACTTTCCTAATGAATGTGGAATAAGTGCTCCTTAAAGTGATTGGAAATGTGACAATGTGTCATTTGTACCAGCTGGTGGTAGTGGCTGAAGAGAGTACACACCTTTTATTGTACAAAATGCATTTAATTTCATTTGTGCTCATTTGAGATGTTTGCAACTACCTTCGAAATACATTAATCGTGATTTTGAGGTTCCTTTTTTTAGAGAACAAATTATGTTTGTGTAAAGAACAAGTAAAGAGAAGGTCAAATGGTATCATTAAAAAAACAAGTGATCTCTGTGTGAATAAGTGGTTAGTTATTTCAGAATAAAGACTAATTGTGAATAAGAATCTGTAATTGAAGGAACATTCTCATTAAATGGTCTCTGAATTTGGCCCATAAATTGAAGAGCAGATGTTAGTGATAGTCGTGAAATGTTTAAGATACATGAAGTATGTCGATTGTTATTAATTCTTGGTTCATAATGTTAATTGTCTACTTTAAATGAGTAGTGTTATGAACATGAGCCTTTTTGCATTGAGATGTGATGTGGTGAGGTCACAGCAGTTAGTTGTTTTGTCGTACCTTTCTTTGTGCTTTAAGTTTGGGTATGGTGTGTAATGTCACTGGCAGTCATTTACTTGTGTTGGGTAATGGCACTATTGCAAATGGCATGCGCTCTTTCAGTATTCATACCTTTTACTCTGCCACTGACCCTACCTGGACCAGGATATGCTGCAATTTTCCCAACTCTGCCCCTGACAGTTATCAGCTGCTGACGGTTTCATTCAATCAGGAGCTTGCATGTCACCATACTGACATCACTGTAGTGATATATAAGCTCCCAATTGGATGAATCTACCAATAGCTGATACCTGCTGAATACAGAGTCAGGAAAATCGCAGAATAGGGCATATCACTTGCTGAAATCACATACGATTCAAATGAGAGGTAGTTTCATAGGAGTACCATATTTACCCGATTGTAAGCTGACCTTTTTCCTCCCCTTTTTTTGTAGTTCAAAAATTGACCCTTTGCTTAGAATTGGTGTCTTTGGTTTGCTGCACCTGACATCTGTAAAGATATCTATTTTTCGTCAGCCATGCTGCTAACATGGTAGAACTTACATAAACTACATCCGTTTGTTGTGTTCAAATGCAAGACTCTCCTAAAATCAGCGTTATTGTACGCGCAAATGAGAAAGGGTGGTTTCCTGAAGTCATGTTACAATGGGTTCAGTTGGTGTGGCATTGTTGCCCTGCTCTGTCTACACTACTGAGGGGCGAACGAGTTGAAAGATCAAGGAACTGACTTGGCAATTATTCCATGGAGGCGAAAGTTCAACCCCTGGATGTGCATATCAACAAATTATTCAAGGGCAGGTTGAAGAAAATGTACTCAGACTGGCTCTCCAAAGACGACAATGCTCATGCTCACTGTGTGCTGAAATGGGCTAGTCTATTGCAACTGTGCGCTTGGGTAGATGATGATCAGAAGAGTGTTCTTAAAGAAGTTTTCTCGGGGGCTTTTAAAAAATTTTCAATCTCAAGTGCAATTGATGGCAACAAAGATGACTTCATGGACAAAAGTGACAGTCAAGGGAGGAATGAATCATCTCATGATGGAGTCTTGAGTTAATCTCTAAAGTGTATAGAAATCACTGGTCTGAGTTTGTTAAGCATCAAATATATTTCTTACGTTTAAATAAATAAATTTCCTTATTTTTTTCATTATTATTATTATTATTATTTGGGGTCAGCTTAAAATCGAGTAAATTCAGAATTGTTCTGAGGACTTGGGTGAAAAGTAGTGTAATAAAATGAAGTTGTGGCAAAGTGTGATGGTAGATATCTTTTACTTGTAGTAGTGGAAATTCTAGTATTTATTGACTTGATCTGAAGTAAAATGTTACATAGATGGTTTCTTCAATCCAAAACCTACACATTATACAGAAAGAGACCCATCTAATCGATGTGCAATAATGTTTACTCGTCCTTACATGAAGTATGAAGTGTTTATATATACCATTTAAAGAAATCAATTATCAAAAGTGTATATAGATACTTTTTTGTGCAAATTTTGATATGGTATTGTAATTCATTTGCTGCTCCATAAATGTGGACTAATTTTCAAAATAAAACTTGGTAACTTTTCTATTGAATGGCACTATTACAGAATGCACACTAAAATTTTACGTTTGTCAAAAGAAAAATTGCATGTTGCTATCCAAGGTTCTGCAAAAATATCGTTTTAGTTGTTTGTAATTTTAAAAAAACAAAATAATTTGTGTGGGCAGCAATTTCAATTGTATTATTAGTTATGAAATCAGTAAATCGGAATAACTTCGGCAATTCAGTTTTTGTAAACTGCAGCATCCTTGTAGTGAAATTAAAATGAAGTTTGGGATTAAAGTTTCTTGGGCCTTCTAAAAAGTGATATATTCGTGGATGTGGGGGCAACTGCACCCTTAAAGTCTTAGAATTTTAATCCTTAGAAATTTGTTGAAAATTAATTTCAGGGTGACAAATTTTTGTGCTCTACTATGCATACCTTGAAGTGTTTTCATTCACCACCTTGGTTAGGATAAAAATCAGACTAAGATCAACAATGATGGGAGAACAACTCTCTGGATTGTGCTTATTGAGGAAGATACTTTTCAGAAAAGATGGAAGACTTAAAAAAAAAACCATTTTGACCAAGTATCCAGAAAATCTCTGACAACTTGTGATCAAAACTTAGAACTTCAATTCTATTTGAAATAAATGTTTTATCCAATTTTGTTTGTAAAAATTTGTTATTTATTTCCAATGACATGGCAAATTTAAAAATAAACATGTTTTGTTAATAATGCAGTTTTATCTGCACTTCATTAATAATTATAATTTCCGCATGCTCCACCTAAAGCACGATTGGATTTGGGTCTCCATGCTCAGATACTCTCATAGGCAACAAAAGGGCTTGCTGGGTGATAAATGTTGATTCGATATTTGTAATGAAGGTATCTTATCAGACACACTTTCCAGCAGTGTGAAAGCTTGTGTTAAGAAACATTGCATCATGCACTTAGCTTGTCTAAGAAACCTCTTCTACAACAACTTAATTAAATGTTTAATAAGTCTGCAGATGTGGTGACTTGTGATTAAGTAATTCAGAAATTATATTTTAATGAAGTACATAAAATAATGAACTGACTTTTCAAAATTTAAGTTTAACAAGCAGTAGCATAAAAATAATTATATTTTGAGTAGTTTGAAGGATGTGCATTACTAATATTCTGTAGAAATGAGTCATTCAGTGCTTCAATTGAATAACAAATTAATACAAATTTGAAATTTAGTTTAAGTAATAAAATTATAAGAAAACATCAGGCTGGCTGAGTATTGAACCTATGTGCCCCATGCCTTCCCTTCCTCACCCTTCCTGAAAATTGTGGTTGTACCTCTAAGGATGATAATCTTGGATTGAATTCTATAGTATCTTAAATTCTTTGTTAAATTGTTATGCTAGAGTATACAAATTTAATTTAATAAGTATAATTCTAGTGAGTGTAATTTTTGGCACATTGTATTGTGCACATTTGTATCTGTTTATTAATCTTTCATTCTTTTAGTTATATTATGTAACCATTCATATAGATGACATTTTTAAAATTTTTGTTTCAGCGTGGTGGGTTTGGCAGAGGAAGAGGTGCTCCACAATAAAAAAAAATGCTTTTATGTAAATTCATATGGTGACCATTAAATAAATTAAAAACCAGCAATTACTTTTTATTTTTAAGGAACCCACTAATAAATATTAAAATGAAATTCACACCTTCTATTCCCCTAAGAAAAATCCTGATCCAGTTAAATATTTTTGTCAATTCACAAATGTGTGTGTTGTGGAATGATGCTGAAAGAAATAACCATTGATAAATTGACTTACGGTTAGAACATAAGAACATTTCAGAAGTAGCTGTAAATTTGCTTTGTGTACTTAATAATGAAACTTTATTAATATTTCTCCTTGAAGTGAATATGTTCACTCTTGACTGGAGTAATAAAATTGATTGAACCTTTGTGAATACCCTTCATCATTTTTGATTGATTCTGCAAGTCACATGATGCAGCAAAGCATTAACGCAACATTAAAGCAAATACAATTGCAATAATTATGTGCTACCTGCAGGGCCGGATTTACCTACAAGCAAAACTAGCAGTTGCTTGGGGGCCCCCATTCTGCAGTGAAGAGCAGAAAAAATGAAGTAAAATGTATTTAATAATGTAAAAAAATGTAACACAAGTAAAAATTTCTATAAAAAATTCAGTTTTCATTTGTATCTGTACAGAAAGTACTTGTACTATAATACATTTTTTATTTAATAAAGATGGAGCTTTTTGGGGGGGGGGGGGGGGCAACACAATTTTGTGCTTGGGGCCCCGCACTACTTAAATCCGGCCCTGGCTACCTGGACTTGTATGCTGATTCTGCATGTATTTGTAATTAGTTGTGAGAATAGTTTCATGCTGGAACCTAACTTAGAACAGCTATATCTTTAACTATTAATGTCATTGGCCCTGTACTGTGCGTAAGGAAACTAATATTGCTAAGCTTTGATATTAAATAGCAAACTATTTCTCACATTAAATGTCTGCCAATGAAGAGAAGGAATTTGATCAGTGTTGCAAAATCAGGGGCATTTTACTTGTGCAATCTCAGAGTTTGATAATATCTTTTAATTGAACCTATTACTGAAATAAGGATTTATTTGTGAATATAATTCTATTATAATATATTGTCAGTTGTTCGTGGAAAATTCTCGGATAAATTCACCTGTCACTAAGTGACTCAGGAATCATCCCATCTGAAGATATTACGTATTAAAACCAAACACTAAAATCTGTCTAAACCGGAACCTATACAAGCCGGAAACCTTCCTTCACTGGATAATTTCTCTTGCCCGTGAAGTTAATTGGCATTTTCGCAGCATAAAACTGAATCTCCAACGCGGAAACTGACCTGTTTTTCATGTTCTGCAGGGGTGACCATAAAACGGAATTTCTACGAGCAATGTAATCGGCAAAGAGACGCGCATTATAAGTTGGTTTTGTCAACTCGTTCATTAAAATCACGTAAGTTTTGAGAAGAGTTTCGTTGAAAGATTTTGCAAAAGTTCCTTTTCAAAGACGCTAAAGGCAGTAGCATAACGATGAGGGAGGGCCCTCTATATAAAAGTAGAGCAAACGCAAGTAGTGTTGGTGCCTTAAATAATACATATATCCCCTAAAATGGGTCCGAACGGTACACCACTGGCGATAGGTTTTATGGCATTCAAGAATCGAAGGAGTTTGATTGAAAACTAATTTTTTAAAGAGTATTTTCTTTAGCTTTTAGTGTCATGAAAAATATGCTTTTGAAAAAGTAGTACAATTTAAAAATTACTATTCAGTTTAAGATGCACTATGCATAAATTGTACAAGAGATACCAATTTAAAAGAGGCCTCTTCCTTGCGCCAGACTAGTACAAAGTGCAGATAATGGATGGCAGTAGGGTAGTAGAGAGTGATGAATAGTTTGGGCATATACGCACAGATGGCTCTGATGTCGAAACGCTGAACGCAGCGCGCTCTACTGTGTGACGAAGTAACGAGTGCATTTGTCTGTACTCGCAGGAGGATGCGGTTGTGTTCGTGGTGCGTCCGCTGAGAAACTTGTATTTATAGTTTATTTTGTTCAGAATATCCAATTAAATGTAAAATTCTTGAATGTTCAGCAAGAATCAGAACTGTGAATGCTTCTCATTTTACAAGTGTGCCTATTTTTATCGTAAAAGAGCCGTGATATTTGTATATACGTGAGACGGAGTGTTGTGTTTACATGATTTTATGAGGTGCAGTTCTAGCTCACGGGGCAAGTTATGTGGGAGGAACAACATCCTCTTTAGAATGTGGGTGACGTCTTGGATCTTCATCTCCTGTGTGATATATGGCGCCGAAAGTGGTAAGTTATGTTACTTATTTTCCACCAAGCAGTGTTACTCTAGATTGGAGATCCTTATCTTTGTGTGTCTTGTTTGAGTTTTCGTGCATAGACGTTAATGTCACAAGAAAGACGTAAGGAGGGCAATAGGTGTACCGGAATAATCAAATTGTAATCTATTCAATGTTTGGTATGTCATAAAGGAATTTATACTTGTTGATATGGTGTTTCATCAGTTTTATTGTTTTGTTTTTTTAGGTAGGTAGTCGATTTATTTTATCCACTGAGTATTCGAAGCGTTTTGTCGTAATAGTTATAAAGATTCATTCACGTACCCATTGTGGAAGCATGGTTATTTCATGGTGAGGATACATTGTTTACATCCGAACGCAAACCCTCTATCACGACGCCATGTGGGGAGCCGCGCCGCCTGCTCACCGCCTTATTCGGGCGGCTAACAAACGCCCTCCGGTTGGCACGTGCCTTCGTTTCTTTCGCGGGGTCTTTCCGAGCTCCCTCGGGCGTCTTCCGGGATACTGTCATTCACTAGTCTCCATCTCCGCGCCCAGACTTCGTAAACTTCCGGAAGCGGGGCGGAGGGGAGCTAATCTGTGGCCTCTCGCACGGGAGCCTCGGAGGGCCGCGTGGATAGGAGCGCTGATAAGATAAGCCGCTGCGCTGCGCGGCGGGGCCCGGTCTGGCCTGGCCAGCTCGGCAAACGGTGCGTCGACCTCGGAGCTCCGCGTGCGACCCCGCGCCCTTCGGAGCCCCGTGGCCGCAGCCTCCGCCGCCGCGGCGGCGCCCGCCCGCCCGCCTTGGATGCAAATTGCGGTGGAACGGGCCCGCCCGGCCGCCGGGTTCGCTTGCCGTCACCTGCCGTTGATGGCAGTCGCCTGCCGATGAAATATGAACGTGTTAGGGCAAACAGACATGGATGGTACTTGTTCTGAACTCCGCCCCCCCCCCCAATATCCAAATCTTAATATTGTCGACTGTTCTTCCCGTGTACATTTTATAACTTAGTGAAAAGAGTGATGTTTTGGCCTCTAAGGAATAGACAGGAATTCACTTTTGTTGAAGTAAGCCTTGTCGATCGCGACCTTGCCCGATTCACTTTTATCAAGGGCTTGAAGCAACAAAGCAAGACACATGTGTATGTTTACTTAAGAAGTATCATGGAAAGTTAAAATTCAGTTTCAAATATCGTGTGCTTCCAAGAACCTTTTTGAATTTCGATTTTCGCTGAAGTCGTTTGTTTCGTTATTGTCTCAAGGTCCCATCTCGATCAGGTTTTTGTCCATTTTCCCTGATTCATTGAACAAATGCTGAGATGGCCCCTTTGTTTTGCTTCTGGGCGTAAATGTAGCTTCACTGTGCGCACGTTATGTTGAACTGTCCTTTTGCTTGTAATGGTAAGAGTAGAAGAAGGGCGAGTTACTATTAGTCTAGCAATGCAGAGAAATCATACTTGCAATTCTTTTACCGATGCAAATACGTTTCCTATACCACAGAAACGAAAATGTCTATTTTTTTCAAATATCGCGAAACTCGCGCTTTTTTAAAACTAATTTTTATTTATTTATTTTAAACCTTGACTCATCTTTCAACTATTTATAGTTAAAATGACGGGAAGGGATTCTGGAACCCAAGAAAACGTGCGCTTATAACCTTCTCCCCCATATCTCACATACAGTTTTCACATTTTTTTGACTAAATAAATCTAAGGCTTTCTTTTATCGTGGTTCTTTTACTACCTAAATTTCAAACCCCCCTTAACTTTGTGGACGTCTTTTTCTTATATCAATGGTCGTGAAGGTCTTGAAAGGATAATTTGTTAGTTCGCATAACAAGAGAGTAATTTGTAATATGTTAAAGAAACCATTTACTTTCTTATGTTCATTAATAGTTTCATAAACACTTCCTATTAGTATTGTTTTGAAGTCTCAGTTTGAAGGGTACTTGCTGTGTTACTCCGCACGTCACTTTTATTAATTTTATGCAAAAGCTTTCTAACATTTTGGTACGTTCGTGCAATTATCATTGTTTACTTTGTAAGAAAAAATGAAATATCTTATCAATTATTATTACAAATTACAATAATCACATGTATAGAAATAAACCGTAAAAGTACGAAACAATAGGGCTTTTACCTATCGTCGACATCGAATCGTATTTTCAAGCAATCAGGACATTTATTCAAGCAAAGCATCATCATATTTTTAAATGCTCTCCACATTAAAAGGTCGGACATAGTTACATAAGTAATATATCTAAATAGCGATTAGTGCCGGAGATAACTACTTTGGGGCGAAGCTCCAAGTGTTTCCGTCAGGTGTAAAGTCTTGTTTACACTCCCTTCGTAATGATAAGTTTACTATTACTCACAGGAATAAAGACATAAACACAAAAAATTAAATAAACGTACGAAATATATCTATACAATAAAAATTTACATTTTGTTCAAAACATTAAATAATTTATATTACTAATTTCCAATGCGCGCAGAAATTGAAAGAAAACTATGCAGCTTTGGGCCACGTGAGAGGTGTCGTTAGATACCTAAGAATTCAAAAAAAAATGTTTTGATTTTGGTTGAAAAATGTAAATATTTAATTGTGTTGTTCCGTCTAATGTCACAATGCGCGTACCGTCTGAATTCTTATTCTCAGTTGGGCACTTCTTATGACACATCTGAAGTCCGATAGCAAGGTACGTAAGTGGTCATCTGCCGTTAAATATTTGCAATTATGTTGCGTCACAGAATAGCAACTTTTTTATGTTCTTGAATTGTAAAGAATTGTTGTACAGTATATACATTATTTTAATACAGCAGTCGTGAAAACCGTTTTGGGTAAAACATTTAATTTATTTCAGTGTTATACGAGAATGGCCCATGTCGTAAATAAACATCAATTGAACCCTTGTTAGGAAGGATCTTGTTTGTTGCCTATATCGTTGACCGATCGGGTGAACTAGACGTTTATAATGGTGCCTTATTTCGGATATAGCATATAGTTCTCCGTAGAACGTTTGCATTTCTCGTGGTAGCGTGGTTTTCTACGTAGACCGCTGAAAAGGCTCCAAGACAAATGACATTTCTCAAGTCCTCTGCCGCTAAGAGGAAATGACGTTCGCAATCAGAGTAATGGCGCGATGTTGCTGGCTGTTCCGTAGGCGACATCACGCGGTAAGAGACGGCTATGAATAAGATACCGCTCAATGGTCCTTCGGGATTGTTTTCGGTTTGATAAACAGCCTCTGTCACACAGTTTTATATCTCTGAA